GCAGATACACCCAAGAGGAGCAGACGGCTGGAAATAATCAAACTAAGGGCAGAAATCAATCAATTAGAAACAAATAAAATTATCCAAAGAATCAATGAAACAAAAAGCTGGTTCTTTGAGAAAATCAACAAGATAGACAAACCCTTAGCCAAACTAACTAAAAAGCAGAGAGAAACCATACAAATCAGCAAAATCAGAAAGGAAAATGGGGACATAACTACAGACACTGAGGAAATCCAAACGATTATTAGGTCATACTACAAAAGCCTATATGGCACAAAATTTGAAAATCTAAATGAAATGGATAACTTTCTTGACAGATTCCATCTACCAAAATTAAGTCAAGATCAGGTAGAAAGACTGAATAGTCCTATATCTCCCAAGGAAATAGAAGCAGTCATTAACAGTCTCCCCTCCAAAAAAAGCCCTGGACCAGATGGCTTCAGCGCAGAATTCTACAAGACCTTCAAAGAAGTACTAACACCAATTCTCCTCAAACTATTCCATAAAATAGAAACAGAAGGAACACTACCAAACTCATTCTATGAAGCCACAGTCACTTTGATACCTAAACCACACAAAGATCCAACAAAAAAAGAGAACTTCAGACCTATCTCTCTTATGAACATTGATGCAAAAATACTCAATAAAATACTTGCAAACCGAATCCAAGAACACATCAAAGATATCATCCACCATGACCAAGTAGGCTTCATCCCAGGAATGCAAGGGTGGTTCAACATACGGAAATCCATCAATGTAATCCACCACATAAACAAAATGAAGGAGAAAAACCACATGATCATCTCCTTAGATGCTGAAAAAGCATTTGACAAAGTCCAGCACCCATTTATGTTTAAAGTCTTGGAGAGATCAGGGATACAAGGCACATACCTAAAGATAGTAAAGGCAATATACAGCAAGCCTATAGCCAACATCAAACTCAATGGAGAGAAACTTAAATCAATCCCACTGAAATCAGGGACAAGACAAGGCTGCCCACTCTCTCCATATCTCTTTAACATTGTACTTGAAGTCCTAGCCAGAGCAATAAGACAACTAAAGGAGATCAAGGGGATACAAATCGGAAAGGAAACGGTCAAAGTGTCACTATTTGCAGATGATATGATAGTATACATGAGCGACCCCAAAGATTCAACCAGAGAACTTCTTCAGCTGATAAACACCTTCAGCAAAGTGGCAGGATACAAAATCAACTCAAAAAAATCAGAGGCCCTCTTGTATACCAAAGACAAAAAGGCTGAGAAAGAAATTAGGGAAACAACACCCTTCACAATAGCCACTAACAACATAAAGTACCTTGGTGTGACTCTAACCAAGCAAGTGAAAGACCTATTTGAGAAAAACTTCAAGTCTTTGAAGAAAGAAATTGAAGAAGATCTCAGAAGATGGAAAGATCTCCCGTGCTCATGGATTGGTAGGATTAACATTGTGAAAATGGCCATCCTGCCAAAAGCAATCTACAGATTCAATGCAATTCCCATCAAAATACCAACTCAATTCTTTACAGACCTTGAAAAAAAGATTCTCAGCTTCATATGGAGAAACAAAAAACCCAGAATCTCCAAAACGATCCTGTACAACAACAGATCATCTGGAGGTATCTCCATTCCCGATCTCAAGCTGTACTACAGGGCAACAGTAATAAAAACTGCATGGTATTGGCATAGAAACAGAAAGGAGGATCAATGGAATCGCATAGAAGACCCAGAAATAAACCCACACACCTATGAATTCTCAATATTTGACAAAGAAGCCAAATCCATTCAATGGAAAAAAGACAACATCTTCAACAAATGGTGCTGGACCAACTGGATGTCTACATGCAGAAAAATGAAAATAGATCCATATCTATCACCCTGCACAAAACTAAAGTCCAAGTGGATCAAGGACCTCAACATAAAACCAGATACTCTAAATCAGCTGGAAAAAAAATGGGAAACAGCCTAGAATTCATTGGCACAGGAGACAACTTCCTGAACAGAACACCAACAGCACAGGCTCTAAGAGCAACAATCAATAAATGGGACCTCATGAAACTGAAAAGCTTCTGTAAAGCAAAAGACACTGTCATCAAAACAAATAGACAGCCTACAGATTGGGAAAGAATCTTCACCAACCCTTTATCTGACAGAGGGCTAATATCAAGTATATATAAAGAACTAAAGAAGCAGAAAAGCAACAAACCAAGTAATCTACTTAAAAAATGGGGAACAGAGCTAAACAGAGAATTCTCGAAAGAGGAACGTCGAATGGCAGAGAAACACTTAAAGAAATGCTCAACCTCATTAGCCATTAGGGAAATGCAAATCAAAACGACCCTGAGATATCACCTTACACCCATCAGAATGGCCAAGATGAAAAACTCAAGTGATAGCACATGCTGGAGAGGTTGTGGAGAAAAGGGAACCCTCCTCCATTGCTGGTGGGAATGTAAACTGGTTCAACCACTCTGGAAGTCAATCTGGCGCTTTCTCAGACAACTAGGAGTAGTGCTACCTCAAGACCCAGCTATACCACTCCTAAGTATATACCCAAAATTTGCTCAAGTACACAACAAGGACATTTGTTCAACCATGTTCATAGCAGCTTTATTTGTAATAGCCAGAACTTGGAAACAACCCAGATGTCCATCAACGGAGGAATGGATACAGAAACTGTGGTATTTTTACACAATGGAATACTACTCAGCAATCAAAAAGGAAGAAATCATGAAATTTGCAGGCAAGTGGTGGGATCTAGAAAAAATCATTCTGAGTGAAGTATCCCAGAAGGAGAAAGACAAACTTGGTATATACTCGCTTATATAGACCTACAAGACATGATAAACATAATGAAATCTACACACCTAAAGAAGATAATCAAGAAAGTGGACACAGGCGAAGGTGATTAATCCTCATTTAGAAAGACAAATGGGATGTGCATTGAACTTATGACAGGAGTCTATCACAAAAGGCATCTGAAAGACTCTACCTAGCAGTGTTTCAAAGCAGACACTAAGACTCATAACCAAACCCTCGGCAGAGTGCAGGGAATCATATGAAAGAAGGGAAGTTAGTATGATATGGAAAGGATAGGAGCTCCACAAGGACCAAATATATCTGGGCACAGGGTCTTTTCTGAGACTGACACTCAACCAAGGACCATCTATGGATATAACCTAGAACTTCTGCTCGGATGTGGCCTGTGGTAGCTCAGTAACCAAGTAGTTTTCCAAAGTAAGGGGAACACGGACTATTTCTAATAGGATCTCAAGGGCAGGCTGTTTGACCCCCACCCCAGGGGAGGAGCAGTCTGTTAGGCCACAGAGGAGGACTTTGCAGCCAGCCCTGAAGATACCTGATAAAACAGGGTCAGATGAAAGGGGAGGAGGTCCTCCCCTATCAGGGGACTTGGAAAGGGGCAGGGAGGAGACCAGGGAGGGAGTGTGGGGTTGGGGAGGGAATGAGGGAGCGGGATACAGCTGGGACACAGAGTTAACAAAATGTAACTAAAAAGAAAAATAAAAATAAAAAAAAAATAATAAAAAAAAAAAAAGTGTATGATAGGGCTGAACCACACTAAACAAGAAACAGGGTTTTACAGTCCACAGTTTTGGGGTTTGCAATGGGGAACAAAGTTTACACAACAATTATACGGCATGATATCCATGAGAATGCATTCTGGACTGTAACTAGGTCTTGGGGCCCAGAAATTAGCATTTGTAACAGAGTCAACTATGAAAGTTTAAGAAAATGTGCTGGTTATTTTTCTGTCAACTTGACACAAGTTAGAGTCATCTCAACATGGGGAACATTATTTGGGGAACTGTCTCTACCAGATTGTCCTGTAGGCAAGTCTCTGAAAATTTTTTTTCTTGATTAACAGTTGATATGATAAGGCATAGTCCTGGGCAGGTGGTCCTGGCTTGATTAAGAAAGCAATCTGAGTAAGCAATGGGGGAAAAAAACAGTAAGAACTGTCACTCTGTCCCTCTGACTGGAACTGGTTGAGATTCTACCTTGACTTCTATTAATTATGGACTGTCCTAGGGAGGTGTAAACCAAATAAACCCTTTCTTCTCTAGGTTGCTTTGGTCATGGTGTTTATCACAGGAACAGAAAGGAAACTAGAGCAGAAAATGATATGGGGAGGAAAAGCCTGTCCTAGAGGCAAGAGAAAACAGAAACGTGGAAAATGATTCCAATGTTAAATTCATAGAGGTGGTTAATCTGAAAGATGGGAGGAGAAAGATCACCAATCCAAATCATGGCCAAATCAATTAAAGCAAGATTTTTTATTCCTATGCATGAGCAGGGTTTAAGAGATCAGCTTTAGCCGTGGGGAACATAGGAAATTTTATAGTTCAGGAGTAAGGGGTTTCCAAATTAGGGAATTTGGCAGGCAAATAGGCAGGATTACAGGAGCAGAACATGAGCATATAGCAAGCTGGTCATAACAACATCCTGAAACAAAGACATGGTTTCAAGGTGGCCATTACAAGGTGGTCAGAACAAGGAGATAACAATACCCTTTTGAAACAAAGGCATAGTTGCTGTTTCCTGGAACAGGCAGTACAGAACCATTTGTAGTTAAGGTTAGAGGTGGGTCATAGCCCAATCCTTGAGAAACAGATTTAATTGTAAACAGGATTGAATGTAGTTTGTTTTTACTGCAAGATGGATTTCTAGCCTAAGATGGAGGAGGCTGGTTTATCAGTGAAGATAAAACTAAATGAACATGCGCAAAATCTTACATTTGCCAGATTAGAGTTTAAACTTGGTAGACACAGAGCTGCATTGCAATCATGGATTAATAAAATGAGAGCCTCCTTTCAGACAGCTGCAGGGGAATAGTACTCGGGGACTGGATCATTCACTCTGTGTTCCTTAAAGGGTGAAGATATGGGCATTGTTGTTCAGTGGAATCTAAGAGACTAAATCTAAGTGATTGTCCTATTTGCTAAATGCTATCCTAACTAAAATAATGCTACCATACAGGTGGCTGCTGAAGTCCATCAAAGGTTTATAGAGGAAGAAAAAGAATCGATCTCAGTAGATACCAGAGAAAAGTCTCCTCAGGCGGGTGCAAATAAAAAAGCCAAGAAGGAGAAAGAGCAACCAAAGAAGAAAAAGCCAGAAAAGAAAGAAAAAGGTATTCATGGCGCTGGGACCCAGTCCCCACATCACTTCAATCCTCTTCTTGGTGGGAAACAAGCCATTAACCAGGCCTTGTTAGCTTCTAGGCCATTTGGATGCTAGTCATTGTTTTAAATTATAGACCTAAGTGTCAACAGGCTGTGGTTGTGTTGGCAAACCACATTGCATATCAGCACCATCTAATTTGTTTAAGCAAATAGCAAATGTAGGCCACAGAGGAGGACATGGCAGCCAGTCCTGAAGAGACCTGATAAGCTAGGATCAGATGGAAGGGAAGGAGGATCTCCCCCATTAGCGGACTTAGAGAGGGGCAGGAAGGAGATGAGGGAGGAAGGGTGGGATTTGGAGAGAATGAGGGAGGGGACTACGGCTGGGATACAAAGTAAATAAACTGTAACTAATATAAAAAAATAATAAAAATTTAATTAAAAAAACCAGCAGATATATTTCAAAGGCAGCTTTTACCTTATTAGGGCTCATATCCGGGGATGTCTGCTGCAGAAGTTAAAAGGCTCTCTGAAAGTCTCAGGGGCCCTCAAATCTAAGAAAATTGTTCTCTGTTGGAACACTCCTACCTAAATCTTTGCCTAAGAGTCATGAAAGGAGAACAACAGAGAAAATAGGCTGAGAGAGACCCCCGCTGACTTTAAGCAACAGCACAAATGTTGTGTTTTTCCTCTCAATGTTTCTATGTGGACTTTTTTTTTTTATGTCATTTGAGGCAAGAAAGGAAAAGTGGAAAACATGTGAGGAAAGTCGCCCCATGGACAGATTGCTACAGTGTGTTTATTAAGCACCTACTGTGGGGAAAATACTCTATGATGATTATGATGATTGCCAAAAAGGGGGGGAGGGGGCACACTGAAAATAAGCAAAGGGTGGTGGTGAGCCTTGTATCAAAGAGGAGACGAAATGTATTGGTAAAGAACAGGCTGCTTTAGTTCATCTCATGTTCTAATCAGTAAAAGTTTTAGCACTTCAGGGAAACATTTGTTTACTTCATTGGGGTAAGTGGCCAAGTCCAGTCTTTAATGATAAGACATATGCAGAGGCTAATCTCTCCTTTATTTGTAATCTATACATTCATCTCTTAGTACAGCAAATCACCCCTCGGTTCCTTACTCTACTTCCTTTTCCTTCACATTTGAGCCCCTTGTGACCATACCACCAAGAATAATCATTGACCTGTACAGAAATTCAAAACTGGGCCTGAAATAACATCACACTGCTTTGGGTAGATTCTCAACAGACATCTACAAACTCCTAATTTCCAATCCGTTTATGTAGTCACTGAAATGCTTGTAGGTGGGCACAAATTAAAAAAATAATAATAATTAATTTGGATAACTATTTGTGAGCATTACTACATTTCAGCCATATTTTTTGATTTAATTGTTGATCTTTTCTTAGAAAAATAAAAATAAAACTGAAAACCACTTTCAAATTTAAGAAATCCCTTAAGAAGTAGTAATTCTGCCAGAGGCCAATATCTACTGTCAACTACGGTGTAATGAACTTGGCTAATTTTTGTCCTCAAACCTTGATTTTCATCATATTTTTTTTATTCTGTAATCACTTCTACACATGCTACATACCTTGTTTTCTTCTTAAGATGTGACACACATTTTTTATGAATGCAGCCAAAAAAAAAAAAAAAAAAAAAGCTCACAGAATCCTCAATGAAAGATTGTAAACACTTCACTGCCCATCCCCAAGGAGTCCAAGGTTTCTTGTTTCAAAATCCCTCACAGTTTTTGACTGTACAGGTTTTGCTATGTGATCATATTGTCCACGTGTCCTGTTCATAACCTCGTATGTTGGGAACTGACTCACCACATTTTAGTTACCTTTCAGGTAAATCACCACCTGTGGCAGATGTCAGTCCCGTCACGATATCACCTGAGGAAGTGGCTGAAATAGAAAGGAAAAATGAACTGAAGCTCAGGATAAAGGAAGAACATCTTGCTGCCTTGCAGATGGAAGGTAGGAGGGGGAATCAAGTAAGACTGTGCTGTCAATAGAGAGTAAACCAGTAGCCGAAAGACCCAGTCGGGGCTCATTAGTAGCCTCCAGTTGAGTCTCAGAACTCAGCAGAAACACTGAAAACACACAATTCATATAGTTTTTCATTTGAACATAAAACCAAGCTTTGGCTACTGTAATAGCATAGGAGCTATTTATTTTGAAAGGTTCCCAAGGAATGATGAGCTTTTGTCTCTCCACCAACAATCCTCCTATAGCCCAGCTTGAACTGAGCCAAGAATGTCATTTTGGACCAAGTCAATGAACCTGCCATTTTGGGGGGTTCAGGAGAGGGGTTGTGTTTGGGGTTTTCCTCTCTGAGCCTAGCACATGAAAACCATCATATTGAGGCAACTAGAAGATTTTTAACAGGGAAACAGTAATTAAGGATGTTTCCCAGCTCCCGCTTTTCTCCTCTTCTCTCGCTTCACCCCTCCACCCACCACCACCTGTTGCCAAAATCCAACAGAAAAACCTGAACTCAGGGAGCTGGGAGGCATCTGGAGAATAGAACATATTTTTCTCTCCTCAATGTCTGTTCACACCCGATTCCACAGTTTTCCAGTGCACTGCATCTTTGAATTCACATGATACAAGATCCTCAATGAGATAAAATTCAATTCCTCAAGTTACAAAAGTTATCAAGCTTTTTACTGCAGGCTCTCTCCTTTGATGGTTGCATATCCATGAGCTTTAGAAAAGCAAAGCAGAACAGTAATAAAGGCAGAAGAAGGGAGATATAAGCAATCACTTATAACAACCTGTGATGTTGGAAAGAGGCTTATGGGACAAGGTGGAAAGGCACAAAGAAAGACTTCCCAGAACTAATGTGGGCTGAACCAGTATGGAAAAATGAGACAAGCTGGGGGCAGGACTAGAGAGCAAAGGTATGTGCCAAAGCAAAGAAGATATAAAAACTATTCAATGAGGGCTCATGAAGGAGTAACTTGGGAAGCCAGATCCTGCCTCAACAGCAAAAAGGTCCTTTTCCTGTGGAAGCTGGGTGGTAATGAAACCTAAGCAGATTGCTCGGGCATGATGCTGGGAGCTGATGACTCATGGCCCTGAGTACTGCAGAGATGGATTTGGGATTGACGTGGGAACAGAAGGGAAAGAAAGCACATACAACTATAGTGTGGGTAAGGAAGAATCAATACCTGATCTCCCAGGCACCACACTTATTAAAGCTCACGAGTAACTTTAGTTTAAACCCTCAAAAGACTTTACTACACATTTGATTTTGCTTTGCTCTGAGATAGAGTCCACCGTACTTATATTGATGAATTAAATGAAACTTCAGACACAAGAGTGACATAAAAAGGGAATTTGTTTCATGGTAAAATGCATGTATATATAATACGTTAAAATACACTTTTCGCTTTTACTTATTTGTGTATATTAATTTTACAGAAGAAGAGGTTTCATTATGATCATTTCATACATGCAAAAACATATTTTGGTCATGTCTATCCATCATTACTCTCTCTTGATCCCCTCTCTTGATCCCCTCTCTTGATCCCCTTTCATATGTTTCCTCTTTTTAAATAGCTTTCACTCTGTTTTCATGTATTTTTAAAATACAAATTCCATATGAACAGGAAAGCATAATATTTCCCTTTCTGAGTTCAGTTTATTTAACTTACATCCAGTTTCTCTTTAAAATAGAAGCAGCCACGCAATTTCGACTTGAACTAATAAAGTCAAAAACTTTGACTATCCTTGAAGAGTTAGTAACAAAGGTGATTGATGTCTTCAGGCTCATGGAGAAGTGGCTTGGTAAGAGATACTTGAATGAAATGGCCAGGTAAGGTTCTCCACAACTAAAAGAAAAACCATACTAAATGCCAGAAATGCAAAATTTAACAAAATGTCCACAGACTTAAATTACACACAAACACACACGTGATATGTGTGTTGGTGTGTCTGTGTGTGTAAGCTCACCTCTCTCTCTCTCTCTCTCTCTCTCTCTCTCTCTCTCTCTCTCGTGTGTGTGTGTAGTTTTCTGGCAGTAAACTGCATATCAGAAGGCTCTGTTGCAATATCATTTCCACTTCAGGTGTTTAGTTTTCACTCTTCAGTCTGCATGTTAATATTACAGATAATTTAAATCCAGAAGACTGGAATTCCCAAATTATCCACAAGTGAGTACCAGGCAGGAGTGCCTGGCGCTCATCAGCTTTATTTACAAAAAAAGGCTCCAGGCAGGCTATTGCACCAGTCTTGGCTCGAGCTGCATGTGTGTATTATAGGGTAGATTGCGAACATTTGCTGCGAGTTCTGCAGCTGTGTGAGAATGGGCATGAAATGGCAAATGTTCTCAGAAACAGAAATTACTATCTGTAAGCAGCTTTTGTGTCTGGCTTTCTTTAGTCTCATCGTGAAAGTTTCACTGTTAAAATCTTCAGCCCAGTTGTTCAGCGTTGTCCCACAGTAGGAAATTAAAAAACATCCAGACACACTCATTTCTGTCTGGTATTCTTGCTACCATCATGTATGTCACAGAATATTACTAGTGGGCAGGAAGTCAATCACTGTTAGCTTTGCAGTGATTTGTGGCCCTAGTCTGCCACTTAGAAATGAAAGTGTTTCACCTGAGTTCTTAGGATTCCTAGCTTCCTCCCAACTGTCTATCAAGTATATACGGATATTAATTCTGTGTGATGTACTCATACTTTTCATATTTGTGTTGTGTATATGTTCACCTTCTGAATCTATAATGTGATGTACTCTGACCACAAGAAATCACAAAACATGACATTAAAAAAACTACTTCTGATGAGAAAGAGACACAGAGAGGGACTGTCACATCCCTTTGAACTCCAAATTTATTTTTCCTTGACTTTTTTTTTTCTTCTCTATTGAAGTTCCTCATAGTGACCCTCCACTAGGGGACGCACAGTCACCTGGTATTGTGGTTCTGGCCACATCTCAGCCAATGTGGAGACACCCTTTAGTCACATGGATTCAGGATCTATGTGATAGTCTTCCTGTGTATTCCCCTCCCCCCCAGCACCAGAACAGTCCAAATCACAATCTAATTAGCAAATACTCAGTCCAAATCACAATCTAATTAGCAAATACTCTATGGGAATTCACAAAGAGCATTTATGAGTTGAATTCAAGGGCCTTTTCAAGGACAAGAACATTTTTTTAAGTGTTAGTATACAAATATTTGTTTCTCGCCGTACAGAGAGAATAAGTATGCATTTTCTCATACTGTTCCATCTTCAAGAGATCAAGACAAGATCTTGTCCTTATTCCAGTGGCTGTACACTTAATCATATATAATGTCCAGGCCATTAACTATTACCCAACTCTTTATATCCATGATCTGTGTTTTCTTGTAAACCATTACAAAGGAGGGAGTAAATGTCAGTGGTTTCGTTTCAAAGATAAAGCACTAACAGACCCATGACTTAGCAGAGGACCAAGTCAAGCACAAGCTCTCGATGAGACCCTGGGGCCCGTTGCTATTTCTTCTGTACCATGGTAACCCTTTCATTGGTACACATCCAGCTTCAGATTTTGTGTGCCAGGGGCTACACTGCCAATATGTCTTAGGTAACATTAAATCCTTTGAGATAAAGCTGGAGAAAAGTTGTTTTTAATTTTCCAGAAGTTAACAAGCAAATCACCTTATAATTTATCCTGTTTCCAAAGAAACAGTTCTAAACAGTTATTAAACTGTCATATGCCACATTAGCTTATTCTGAAAAATAATCTAACATTTGGTGTAATCTTTCTTATGTAGGAAAGTATATTTCAATACTAATAAAACCAAATTTAGGGGGTTGGAGACATGGCTCAGAGGTTAAGAGCACTAGCTGTTCTTCCAAAGGTCCTCAGTTCAATTCCCAGCAAACACATGATGGTTCATGACCACCTATAATGAAATCTGGTACCCTCTTCTGGCCTGTAGGCAGAATAACGTATAAATTATAAATAATAAACTTAAAAAAAAAAACAAATTTAACAGGCCTTATTCTTGTTCAGCTTTGCATTAAACTGAACTATATTACATACTTAGTAAGATAATATTTTGCTTTTTATCTTTACTAATTTGCACCCTGCTAAATATAAGTTAAAAGTTTTAAATCCCTATAGAATCATCTAACTTACCCTATAATGTTAGATGTTTTGTGTGTGTGACTATTTGTGTGTCTTATTAAATTATTAGCTTAATATCTTCAATGGAGATCAGCCTGTTCATTTTACTATTTTCAGTATAGAGAAATTGACTGAAGTAGCTCGCTACTACATTGAAACAGCTACAAAAATTCAAAATGAAATTTATTTAAGCCAAGAAGACTTCTATATCAACGGAGACATAAAAGTCTTCCCAGATGCTCCCCCACCAATCCGCCCTCCACCCATAGAAAAGGAAGAAAACAGCAGCCTAACAATCAAACAGCTTGACAGTCTTCGGGAGCAGTTCTTAGATATGGTGCCTAAAGGTAAGAAGGGAATCGCTGCCGGTGGAACACAAAGATGACTGAAATTGCATCCAGTGGCCATCACATGGCCAGAGACAAATGAGTTCTGTAGGGGCACAGGGTTCTGCAAGAAGACTTTGCTCTGTTCTAGTTTTGCCAGATATTTGCTTGGCACAACATTGATCTGAATTAAGCAGGCAGGAGAGTCCCCGTGACTGTCAGTCAAGCGGTGGAGCAATGTGCTCATGGGCAGTGGCCATCCCTGGTAACTCTTTTCTCCTGTCTTCCTCCTCTCTCGGAGACACACTGGTAAGCTTGACTCTACCTGACAGTTTGCAGATACTCTTTGTGCATACTCCTAAGTAGAGATGTGTTGGGGATCCCAAGTTTGTGTTTCTGTCTAGCCAGTGGAGGGATACTAGGAGGTGAAGATGTCCCTCTTGGAACTGCCTTTTCTTTCAATGCTTTATAGATTGAGTAGAACCAAATGAGTTACTGGCATATACTTGCCTAATTAATTTGCTTATATGAATGCATATGTTGTTTTTTTCACACAAATTTTGAATCCCTTTACATTTTGTCATTACAGTTTTGTGTTTTCTGTAATGAGCCCACTAATTTCTATGCTAGGTGATTCAGACCGCCTAGAATCATTGGGATTGAACGATCAGTCACAGAGCAATTAAGCAGTGTGTCTGTGGCCATGTACATTTTGGACTCTGATAATTCATAGTCCCTTCATCTTATGTGGGAACTAAGTTGTCTCTCATAAATAGGGTTATTTTACTTTCCTTAAATGTCCTCATTATTGGAAAATTGTGTCTTTTTTCTAGAGATAGTCAATGAGCTTTAATATAATCACAATCTCACTTTTTGAAAATTAGTCCCAGCATTTTCAAAAATCCATAGAAAGTATTGACAATAACAGTGATGATTCATTCTGTAGTCTGTAAAGCTCCTTGACAAGGCCAATGCGTGGCAAGACGCACATGTGTTTGCTTGGGTGAATGCATACACTGACGTGTCAGCTCCTACAGTGCCCTTTATCACATCATTTCATTTTGAACTGACGACATTGTTCATTTTGTACATGTTATATTTTTTTACATTTAAAAGAAAAAGATAGGTAGGTATACAATTCTAAAATAATGCATGATTTAAGTTACACCTTCAGGATGATGACTAAGAGGAAACTGTTCCATTTAGTAGCCTAACAAAAAGCATTTAGAGGCATTTAAGTAGGTGGAAGTGGACTTTTAAAAATTATAAGCCTTTCACAATTCCTTTCAAAAGTGATTCTAGTATTCATGGTGACTATTATATTCTTTACTATATCCTCAGAGTCAAAGTTTAGATTCCAACTAAGCATTTAAAACTAAAAAGCAAATGCATTTATTTCATCAACAGATGAACTCTGGAAAAATTGAAATAAAAGTGTGTCTACTGATAAAATTTATCTTTTTCTGAATATAATAGAGAATGATCATTGTCAGACAATGATGAAACAGCAAGAGAGATATCTTATCACTGTTCTGTTTCTGTAAAGAGAAACTATTGTCATGCCAACACTTCCAAAAAAAAGCATTTAATTGGGGTTTGCTTACAGTTTTAGAGGTTAAGTTCATTATCATGGTGGGAAGAATGACAGCACACAAGCAGACATGGTGCTAAGGAAGTAGCTAAGAGTTCTACATCTGTCTCCACAGGCAGCAGAGACAGAGACAGAGATAAAGACAGAGGCAGAGACTGGGTTCGGTTTCTTCTAATAAGGCCAAATGTCCTAATCCTCAGGTAGTGCCACTCCCTGATAATGAAGCATAAACTAAATATATGAGCCTAGGGGGCCATTTTTATTCAAACCACCACAAGAGAATTGAAAGGGAAGGAGGAAAGTCAGTATAGCTAAACTTTTTTTTTTTTTAAGCGTCATTAAGAGAAAGCCATTTGCTATGGGGGAGGGTAGAGTATGACTTGAAAAGATAGGCAAAGAAAAGTGTAATATAAGGCAGTGGGTTAATTATGAGACAAGAATATGAAATTTAGCTAAGTGTCCAGGAGTGCAAAGTCAAGAATTGGTATGCAGTGAGCAAGGCTGGTCCAGAAAAGAAATGTAGAAAAAATTTAGCAAATCTATGGAAGCATGGAATGATTTGGTGACAAGGCTACAGAGTGTATTTAAATTTAGAGGAACAAACTTCAGAAAATACATTGCAAAAAGTAGAGGAGGATGGATGTTGAGTGAATGGTCAGGAAACTGGACTGTATTTCCTTCCACAGTCGTATCTGCAGAAAATTAGATGACTGGTCTTTATCAGAGGAGTGTCTTCCACCCCCAACACACTCTCATCTGGAGAACTAACCCTTCCACAGATAACTATTGTCATTTAGACAAAAGGTGCAGCGCTCTATGTGAGATGTGGGGTTTTTGAAAGTTAATGATTGTCTAAGTTTAACCATATCATGAACAAAAAACACTCCATTGAAAAAAATATATGCATCCTGTATGTTATTTTAAAATATATGTGAAATACTTAATCTCGGTGTTTGGTATCCTGAGCTCAAGTAATGTTCATTGTCAATGTTTTTGCTATTCAAAAAGAAAAGGGAAAGCAATGATTTTTTTTTAATGCATCTCAGGGATCTCAGCACAGAATTATTTACCATTTCCAGGAGTTGGGCTACAAATGCTTACATTGTTCTCCCTGAGTGTCTGCCTGACCTTTGTTCATCTCTCCTAACTTCATAAATTACCCTGGATCTATAATCGTTGTAATTATACCACACCCACAGTTGCTTTACACTTTTTAAAATATTACTTACAAATCATATTTAACTTTTTTGTTGCTTGTAGAGCACTGATTTTCTGTTTTATGCATTTTCCAATTGTTCTATGCTACATACATAAGTAGCTTTAAAGAGCTAATTTCTGCATGATGCACACTGAAAAGGGACACGTGAGTTAATTGTTGTCAATTGGACACACCTATGAGGGCAGCGCACAGCTCAGATCAGCTAGTTTCTGTGCTCTTAGGTAACTGCTCCTCCTCTCTCCTTCCAGGTGATGAATGGCTAGCCTAACAGCAGTTATTTATGTATTCCCATATGCAAAATGTTCCCACATGGTTTCTTCATTACATAAACACATGAAACAAATCAACTTGTAAGCTTTGATGTGGCCTCTTTTATTCACTATTATTATTGAGAGTGATCCGTAGTCTACACAGATTTGTATTTAAACTATAGGTTACTCCCTTGTGGAAAGTAATACGATACAGCATGTTTACATGTCCCATTGTTAGTAGCATGTTTTGTATCTCATTTTTAAAATTGCTGTGTGAAAACTGTTCATATTTCTGGGATAGTGTGGTATTTGATACATGTCTAGACTGTATATTGAACAAGTGAGGACAGTTTAGCATATATCACTTTAAACACTATTTCCTAAACTTCTGTCCATTGTTTAGATGAAGATTTCTGTTCATTCAAATTTTTTCTTTAAATATGTTACTAACTTTAATCTTCATAATAATTTTATAAACACTAATATAATTTTACAAAGGAATCAATGAGGCAAAGAGAATTAAATGGGTTTACCAAGATCAAGTGACAATCATTTGACAAAAAAAAAAGACTTCAGAAAGAACTGACTCTAACCATACAGTTGAGGTTGAAGTAGATAAAGTCAATCAATCTGCAGAAAATTCTAGTAAAGGGCAAGACAAATAAAGACCACACTACCCCAGTGACTGTTATAGAAAACAGTCCCTCCCTTCCTGTTCTGGGAAAATGTTCATGGATGATTCCTTGTAGGTCACTGGGAAGAGGGGCTCCCTAATTCACTGGGTGCTTACTCATGCTGCTCCCATGATTCCAAAATACAAATGGACTGTTACTGAGTGTGGGAAAAATACAAGCATACTGGGACAGTCAGGGGTCTGGGAAGACTGCAGTGAAATTGTGTTTTCTGGCTATGACAGGGAGGCTGAACCCATGAACTCTCAATGCTATCTTGCCTATAGAGGGCCTGCACAAGACCACACCAGCCAACACTGCACCATAGACAGAGAAAGGGGCCCTGAAAAAGCCCTGCCACCCCAGCTGAGGAGCTACAGTCTGTGGTTATCAAAAAGGGAAGTCTGTTTTCTTCAGGGCAAGTTGCCTGATAAGTAGGTTGCCCAGGCCAAAATGATTAGTCCTATATTTCTATATTTCTTTGCATATGAGCAACAATTGTGTTCATCATATTATACATAATGTATATTGTATATGTATGTGTTATATATTATATATGAGAAATACTCATTAACTATATACTATATTATACTTATATATATTACATAAGTAATATATAATGTATTTGAGAGGCAGATGTGGATGGGAAGAGACATGATGGGAGGAGTTCTTAAATAATCATGTGGAGTTTTGTTGTTGTTGTTGTTATTGTTTTTAAGGCAAACACACTTCAGATGCCATGATTCCAGTCACCAAAAGGCAGAAAAAGTCATGTAAAGTTGACTACCACCTACCAGAAAGAAATCACCAGTTTTTGAAAATTTGGCTAAAAAAATACCCTTGGCTTGTATATGATGAGCTATTAAACGTTATGTTCTGTATCCTGTGTCGCAAGCACGGGGTAAAATCAGGGGGCAGTCAAGTGGGTTTTATCTATGGCACAGACAACTTCAAGGCTCAGTTTCTCAGCGCACATCACCTCAGTGAAGCCCACACCATGGCATCACTGATGGAAACAACAAGCGGTTCTCCCGTGGACAGAGGTGCCACCGAGCGGATGGTCAGAACCATGAGCAAAGTGACTCTCGGGAGAATGGAGAACTTATTTAGATCATGCCATGCTCTCGCAAAGACCGGACGTCCCCTCAAAGATTTTATTTGGATGTGTAAGTTGGATGATATGAAGGGTGTTGATATTGGCCCAGTCTTCAGAACTAACAAATCAGCAAGAACATTTATACATTTCATTGCTGAAGTAGAAAGAAAAAGACTAAGAGAAAAACTAGAAAAAAGTAAATTTTTCTCTGTCATCATTGATGGAATTGCAGACAGTCTAACCAAGGAAGCCAAGGTGGTCTATGTTCAGTTTGCACATACAGGGAAAGTGGAATGTCAGATTGTCGGGATGCAGTCAGTAGAACAAAGAGACCCTTGGACAATCAAACATGCTATTGAGAAAACTCTAGAGAGGAATCTTCAGCTTCAGCTGTCAGGCAAAGACTGGGCAAGGAAGTTGGTTGGTTTTGGAAGCGATGACTCCCCTGGAATAGAGGAGGAGGACAGAGTGGCCCTGCTCTTGAGAGCAATACAGCCGTGTGTGCAAAGTGTGTATTGCCTTGCACACCGCCTAGAACTGTCTTACAGAGCAGTGCTCCACAGTGTGCCCTTGTACAATGACCTCGAGGCACTCCTTACCAATATTTATCGCTTGTATCGCAAATCTCCTCTTCTTAAGAGTTCTCTGATGACAGCCTTCAGAGGCCTCCATCTCCGACCTGTGATGCCTCCTCCGATAGGAGGCAGGAGGTGGCTTCCTGAACTACAGGCAGCCCTCCAGAACTTCCTCAGAGGATACCCAGCAATCGTTCAGCATCTGCATTCAGTAAGTAATTTTGAAATAAAATTTTCAGTATATCACGAAATAATGTTACTGAAACTTTTTTTTTTTGGAGTAAGATTTTTAATATAAGAGAAGACCCCAAACACCGTTCCCAACTTGTGTTACAGGCAGATAAAGGCCAAAATGACAAAAGTCAACAGAAAGCCAAAGAACTTCTAGATCTCATTCTCCAAGCTGATATCATCAAATTTGCACATTTCTTAACAGACATCCTTAGTGTCCTTAGTGTTCTGTCCCACGCCAGTCAGAACAGAAATTCTTCAATTGCAGATGTATTTGCTGCCTTGGAGTCAACACTGGAACTGCTTCAGATCTATCAATCAAGGTGAAAGGTTGAGGACCTCTGAGGGTCTGCCAAGGTAGATGATTTGACTTAGGATATTGTTTTCCTGTTATGCTTTCATTTAATTCTTTATTTGGGTGATCTTCTCCCAGACCAGGGCCAAAAGAACGCAGGGTGGATTCAGCCTCACACTTTCACAGTTACTGCCTCAGGGGAAAAGCAAGCATTTCTGCTGTGAGAACAGTGGTTTTAACACATCTTATCAAGAGGTTGCAAGGCTGTTTCAGAGATGCCAGCCTAGATGTGGTGAGAGCAACTATGATTGGAAGCTTTAAAATGTGGCCTATGAAGATAAATCAAGGTAACCCATAGGCGCCAATATCTCTGATCTCTCTCTACTTTGATTGCATGCCTTCATTTTAGGTATGTGACATTTTTATTTATCTGCATGGATTACAGAATTTGGAAAAAAAGAGATATCCATCCTGATTTCACATTATAAACCAGTTCTAGAAGCTGCCAATGTGAAAACTGATGAAGTAGATGCTGAATGGAGCATGTTAAAATTAGAAATATATGGCAGGTCAGTAAGAAGGCAAACTAAATAGTCACATGTATCAGTAAGTGGGTAAAAGTTAGGTCTCTCAGCCTTTCTTTTCCTTCATCTTCCCTCCTAGGTTTCAGAACATTCGAAAGCTGACCTGGGAGTTTGTAAACTCCGTTTACTCCCATAAGTATCCAAATATTCTGACACTTGTAGACTTAGTGCTGGCCCTCCCTGCAAGTTCAGCAGAACCAGAACGAGGGTATAGGCGGACGAAGCTCACCCACTTACGTGTGGATGAGAAAATCATGGCTGAAAGCATGACGGACATCCTAATCATTCAGCTGAACTCTCCAGACATTAGCAGTTTCGACCCTAGGAACGCTATACATCTATGGACTACAAGGACACAGTCATCAATGGCTCACAAGGGACCAAATCTGGACAGCTCATCAAACTCAGAAAGCCAAGACGAAAGTGATGAATGATGCCAATTATGTTGACTCTGTTACTGATCACAGAAAAAAAAAAAAAAAAAAAAAAAACTTTCAAAAAGAAAAATTAGTAGCGGCCAGTCTTTGCCTCAAACACAAAAGACACTTGGCCTTTTCCAAACATACAAAGAGATATAAAGCAGACTCATTTTCCTATAATTTTATGACTTTGCTGCACTGTTTAATGCTTTTGTTTCAATTCTTTGGGTGAAGGCTGATGCTTCTAGGTGATATTTCAATGTCATCTTTGTGAATATTTTCTCTAAGGGTGAGCAAACTATTACTTAGTTATCTTACACTGGCCATCCAACTGACTCTTGTTCCTGGATAATTCTAAACTCCAGTTGCAGTGGGTAATTAACAGGGCTAAACAGATACAAATTTATAAAAAAATAAGCTTTGCGCAAACTTTGTCATTGAAACTGTCACCATTTGGAATATGAAAGTCAGATGTCTAAATGTCTTGGACATTGAGTAACAAGGCCAAAAAAAATGGTTTTTACATTTCACACTAAGATCTCAGGTAAACAATTCCTATGTAAACTGAAAATATTACTTTACAACATTCTGCTTCCTAATGTTGCCATTAGAGACAATGAGACCACATCTTGCAATCACCAGAATTTGTAAACACTTTGGTTCTCTTTGCAGTTTTAATAGATTTTATTTGTAGTCCCATCATGAAGAACATGGTTGGTTTATTTCTAATATCTGAAACCCAAAGTGACATCATTTAAACCTTTATTTAGAGGGAAATTTTTTACCCCGGAAAATGTTCTCATGACTAATATCAGATGCTTCAGTGAAATTAAAATAACATAAAATTCATCTCGGAGTTACCTATGGATGGTTAAGTATTTGGAAAGGAAAAGGATGAACTCTTTCTACTCATAATATTACCTTACAAACTTGGAACTGTCCCCATGGTCTGAACCATAGACATCTTAAAGGGACAGCTGCATTTCCCTAGAGGTTAGAAGAAATGGTAAAGTTTATGTGGACTCTCAGACATGGTGAAAACTCGGGCGTAAAATGAAAGTTGAGGATGCTATGTCTAATTCACTTTTGTTATTCCTGAAGAAAAAAAAAGAACAGCTCTTTATGGTGTTCCTCCCAGATATGCGGATGTATGTAACTGATCTCTCAGATTTCCAGAAGGTGCCTCTGTTATGTGTTAGCCAACTGCTTGTATTTCTTAAGATTTATTTTTGTTTCTCTATTTCTAGTGCATGTGCATTCAATTTGGAATAAGAATCAAAGTTTGGGTATCTCTTAGATACGCTTAAGTAAATTAGTATGCAAAAGCACGGCAGTTGGAAATTTAATGCTGTTTTATGGTTAATTAGAACCTTTAATATCATTGGCTTACCCATCTAAATCTTTCTGCAGTTACAAAACAAGCCATTGCTAACTGGAAAACAAACTGAGAGGTAGAAACTACCTTCATTATAGCTGTTGCCTTGCATGCATGCATTTGAAATACAAAATGTTTCACTCATGTGTCCAACTAGGTATAACAAAACAGTGTTTCTTTTAAAAATTCAACCCATTTAAAACAGTATCAAAGAAGGGTTTTTGTTTTTTGCTTGCTTGCTTGCTTATTTGTTTGGTTTTGGTTTTTGAAGACAAGGTTTCTCTCTGCCTAGCTTTGACTATTCTGGTACTAGTTTTGCATACCAGGCTGGCCTCAAACTCAGAGATCCATCTGCCTCTGCCTCCCTAGTGCTGAAATTAAAGGTGTGTGCCACAATTGCCTGGCCAGAAGATTTTAACATAAAATTTATGCAATATCAATATTTGCTCAATCAGAAATGAAAATTTTTCTTCGACCAAATGACCAAATAGGTCATTTTTCAGAGATAACAAGAAACATCAGAAATTTTTATTTTATTTTATTTTATTTTATTTTATTTTATTTTATTTTATTTTATTTTATTT